TAACTTTGTTTAGGTATACCCACATATTATTGAGTAATACAATGATTCTCATTACTTTTCAGCCATACCACGTATATGGTTGAAGGGTTATGACTTTTGTAGGGTAATAAAAAAATGATAATCCTAGAAAATGGGTAAATTTAAATACAGTAGAACCTTGTCTAAGAGCATACGAGGGCTTTTCAATAGAAATGGGACCATGTTGTGAAAAAAGCAATTTTGAGTTAATACCATTTGCTATATAAATCATCACTAGAACATTTTTGGCTTAGAAACCATCCCCACTTTTGCATAGTAAAATAATGAGATACTTTTCCATATATTTTCTTTGGCCCGGGTTAGGCCATATATGCTATAAGCATACTGTATGCTATGGAGAGAGAATTTTTATTTCATACAATTTTGCAATAGATAGAAGTATTACAATAAAGAAAGAAATTTTCTACATTTTTATTTTTACATTTTCCATAGCTCTAAAATATAATGTATATACTATCTTTCATACAAATTTGGTACCTATATCTTTGAAAAGGAGGAGGAGTAGTGGTTTGAAAACAATATGTTTACTTTGTTGTAAATCATTTTCAAATTTCCTGTGATCCAACAGTTGTATTTGATATTAGAATGCATATTTTTGACCCTCTTATTCTGGTGCTTCTTGCACTGTAGCAATTATCATATCATCATTAATTCATTCCAGCTGTTTCTATTCTATAATCAATCAATCATCTATTAATTAATAAATAAGTATATACAATCAAAGCTTGTTATAGTAGAACTTGTCAAATTTTTTAAATATTATAAAGAGGGTTAGGCTAAAACCGACTTATCAAGTAATCTGTGATATGAATCATTGAAATTTTTTATATAACATTTATTAATTGATGACAGGCAAGATAAATTGAAGTTGTATCTAATAATAATGCAGGCGGGATATGAGTGATGAAATCTTAGATTAATAATTACAATTTAAAAAATTTTAAGGATTGATTGTTATAGATTTTTTATTAAATAATATATACTAAAATAAATTCTATTGTTTGTATTTTAAGCTAAAGCAAATCTTTGAGCTGCACGATCAAATAAACTAGTTTTAAGGTCAAGTTCTTGTAAAAATGGATGGTTTGGAGCTACTTCCTTAAGTTGACTAAATAAAGAAAATGTTTTAACAACAAATTAAAAATTAATATTGAATTTAAATTTTAAATTTTTTCTGATATACTTACTTGGCATATCGATTTATAATTTCAGTGGCTTCAGTATGTTTCCTTGTAAAATTTGAAACTACAATCAAATTTACAAGTGTATCTGGATCATCATTATTCTATGAATTAAGGTTTTACCAAAATTATTTTAATAGTTTTAAAATTTATCAAAAATTAACTTATAAAATAAAGTGTGTTTGTTAATTACTTTATTCAGTGCTTCTAATAATAAACTCTCTGCTTCAGGGTATCTACCAAGATGGATATTACAAACAGCTTGACTATTTAGGATTTTAACTGTGTTGGATGATGGTGATTGTGCGATTTCTTCATAAATATAATATGCTTCTTGATATTTATCACCACCCTTTTTATATAACGAATAAGTTTCAAGTTTTACAGTGATTAAAAAATAATGTAACTTTTTTTAACAATAAAAAGAAAAGGAAAGGGTAAAATAAGGTATTATTTCTTACAGTTTTTAATCCAACCCAAGCTTCTATAAGTTGAGCAAGCATTGCATCTTCAGCCCAGGTTTTAGTTGATGCAAGTTCTCTTTTTGCAAGATCTAATCGATCTAATTGCAAATAAATTTGAATAATCAAAGCTACACTAATTAATAATTGAAATTTTATTATTATTATGATTATTTGACATTTGAAATCTTTGAAAGAAAATCAATAATAATAAATAATAATTATTTACCATTCCAAATTTTTATTATGTCGAATTAAAACTTTTAATGCATCTTCATATAATCCCTCAAGATAATAAATAGTACCCACAATGATTTGTACAGTGGAATTTAAAGTATTGCTAGCATCACTTAATATAACCTCATTAATTTCTTTCAAAACCTCTTCCTTTTTGGCATCTCCAAGAGTATTTTTAGATTGTAAATAAGTTGCCAAAATTTTCACCACTTTTAAATCAATTTGATCAGAATCTTTAATTTCTGAAATGACTATATTAGATTTTCCTTGTGCTATATATGCTCTATATAAATAAACTTTACGTTCTAATTTCGAAGCTTCAGAAACTACAGCACGAGAATTGGCTTCATTTATTACTTGTTGAAAAGAGCCTTGTTCATTATTTATTGCAATAATTTATTTATTATTTGTCTAGACAAAAGAAATAAATATGATTAAAAATAAAAATGAAAATATTTTTACCTGTGTAAAATAAATTCCTTATAGAATATAATTCGTCCATACTCTAAATGATTTTTTTTCTCTTTAATTTTTTTATTGTTGGTTGTTACACGATCAAATTTTTCATCCTCGACCCCGAATAGTTTAATACCAAAAAGTCCAATGATTTATTAGGGATCCAAAAATTTCGTGCAACAAATCAATTGTGACTAGGAAATCAACCTCTCAGCCGATTTTTTTATTTTGAGTTTTCTTACTTAATATTAATCTATTATACAAGAATTACAATTGGAGAAAAAATTGGATCTTGTTTGCATAGTAGAGGAATGAGATATAGGGCTTGGAATACTTTCTTTGTATATCAAAAACATACACTCCCTGGACAAAAGTTTCGGTCACCATAAAACAATCAATTGCACAAAAACGCACATAATAAAAATAAAAATAATTTTTACCAAATCATAACAAAG